AAAAGGTATCATTATTCTTGCTAGATAGCCTTTAGCAACCTAACAAATATATTTTGAAGACTTCAAAAATATTGCATAATTGTGCAGTACAGAGTTAACTCCACAAGTTTGAGTGGTCCAAAACTTGCACAATTCAAAGAAAGGTCAGGTCCTTGCTTGGCCCCTGGAAGGTAACATTTAAGCCTGTGGAATATCCTGCCTGGTAAGAGCATCTTTGCTTACCTGGTCAGTTAATACTAACCATGTGATTAGGGATGGGAGGAACTTGGGCCAGCCTGGTCTGAGGGGGATGGAGACTGAAGGTCTGCCTTGTGGGTGGTCAGCCATTACCATGTGACCAAACTCTAGTAAAAACCCTGGATATCAATGCTTGGGTCAGCTTCTCTGGTTGGCAACACTCTGTGCATGTTTTCACTTGTTGTCGAGAAAACAAAGCACTATGTGCACAACCACTTGAAAGGACAGGTAGAAGCTTGTGCCGGGCGTCTTCCAGCTCTGTGCCTTTTTCCTTTGTTGATTTTAATCTACATCTTTTCATTATAATGAACCATTATTATGAGTAAAACAGCTCTGCTGAGTTTTATGAGTCCTTTTAGCAAATCATGGACCTCAAGGTGATCTCAGGGACATTGTCCTCAAACACTATAATCTAACCACAATTAATACATTAATACTAAATTATGACTTGAAATCAAAGGAAAATCTTTCTCCAACAAATTGCTGCTCACAAAGATCACATAAAACATACAAAATGTGGTGAATGTGTTATGTATGCATTCAATAAGTCAAATTCATGAATAATAAGTTATTTTTACTTATAAAAATGATGTTATAGTTTTCATCACAGTGAATTGATGAAAGTTCTCATTCATGTTTCATAGAATAAAAACACTCAATATCAATGAAAATATTCCATTCTCAAAATTTTTGGTTACAAGAAAAATAATCACTCCCCTGACCTATTGTTTAAAAAGAAAGATAATTTTAAAAGGGATACATAAATGGTATAAATCATTTATTTCTCCTGTCTTACTAAGACTCTAAATCACATTTGTAATATAACTATATTAAGATTTTTTTAAACTGATAATTTCTGAAGAGAAAAATTTAATACATTTTTGCTGACATTATTTAAGATTCCTTTGTAATAGTAAAAGAATTTTTTTGCTCTCTTCAATTACTCAAATTCTCATCCTTAAGGGTTACTTTTAATTATTGGGTAGCCCACATCAATTTTTCCCACATCGATTTTTCCAGCTATATGTGCTGTTGCTCTGGGAAATTCTAGAAATCAAATTCAAGCCAACTAACAAATGTGCTTGTCCCAGTTCAATTTAGAAACACTACATGTATGATTATAAAGATATTCTTGAATTGACAAGTGTAAATAAAATCATTCTGCAGAATTATATGGAAAGAAGCTATAAACAAAAAAGAAAATAAAAAAAGAAAGAAAAAACCCCCCAAATTTAATAGTTTTACTTAAATAGCTGACTCTTAATTATACCCTAATTAAAAGAGATCTGTATTTTTTCCCATTTTCTGATTAATGCCATAAGCATTTAGTAATCTTTTTTCTCTTCAAAACAGATAGATGATAGATAGATAGATAGATAGATAGATATACAGATAGATAGATATTGTTTTTAAATGTTCAACACTGGCAACATCTAAAAAAGGAGCTATGTTGGTATGTGTGTACACAGGTTTCATACATATAATTATCTAACATCTATGAAAACTTTCCCTACTTGAGAGGCTATGTATTTATGTTCATTTGAAAATTTTCTTCTTCCTACATATGTCTTTCTTTCTTTCTATTTTTAAAATTCTTTTTAAATTAAATTTATCTGGGTGAAATTGGTTAATAGGATTATATAGGTTTGGGGTGTTCATTTCTATAATATATGACACATACGTGGCATCGTGTGTCAACCACCCAAAATGAAATCTTCTTCCATCACCATGCATTTGACCTTCTTCACACTTGACCCTCCCTGCTGGTCTAGCAGCTTGGATTTGGGGTTTTCAACTCCTTTTTTTTCCATTGTGCTTTATGTCTGACATTGAATTTACCCAAATGAACTTCATCCTCTTTGTTTGCTCTTTGTAAATATACCACGATTCTCAATGCTTGTGTCTACCAATCTCTAGCATCAAAAAACCCCCAAAACACTAGTCTCTAATTTCAAGATGAATACTGACTGCTACTACTAAGAACTTTTAGCAACTAAGTAGCTCAATGTACAATGCATCACATGTCCCGGTCTTCATCCATCAGGCATTGCACGTACTTTTGGTATATCTCTGTTGACTTTGGGTACCATTCTATAAAAGACAGATAAAATAATATTTCACTACCATTTTAGCCATTCCAACCTGAGTTCCTAGTCATAAAGCAATGTTTCTACTGCATAAAGTTAAAGTGGCCTTCCCTTAAATCATATTATTCAGTCATTTTTTTCAGTAGTTGTATGAGTAGGTTCTTGATCCAGACTTTACATGTTAATAAAGTAACATGGATTGTGGTTCATTCCTTTAGTGTTTCAATTAGTGTTCAATTAGTGTTTTTTCTAGTGTTATTTGTATTTAAGAATACAAGTGAATAAAGTAACTTCACACATCCATTTTTAAAAAGTAAAACAACTTTTTAAAGTGAACCTTATATTATTTAGGGGACTTGAGAAAATTACTTAACATCTGTTGCTTAAAAATGTACAGACTGCTTATACATCAAGCTGTTAATGCCTAGCTAAATAGTGGAAATTATAATTATTCAGACATTTGTATTTAATGTATAAAATTATATTTATGATTAATTTGCATTTACTGCATTAACATTTTTTAGTGGTAACATTTTTCTTGCCTTCATACCTTTTTCTCCACATTTTTCATTCTAAGGATGCACATGGTTTTTCCTGGTATGATGAAACTAATATATCTTTAAATTATAAAAATGGAATTAAGGTTCTAAATCCCACCATTTATGGGGTCCAACGCCGAACGAGGTTATTGTATTGCAAACTACCCCTGCAGGATGATGACTTTAAAGTGTACTTACTTTCTTTTTGTTTCTTTATTTTTTCGAGTAACAGACTTGCATTCTAGAGCACTCAGTTAAAGACTCAAAGCCTGCATGGGAGAAAATGACAGTATATCTACATATTTACGTAGGGACATCGAAAATCAATCACTGCTGGGACTGTCTTATTTCTTGGACTAGGTTATGGACACATGGGTATATTCAATTTTTATAATTCGCTGAGTTGCGTCATTATGACTTGATTATTTTCCTGTACTTCATTTACCTGAATAAAAAGGTTTTTTTTACTCAAACACTCTTATATGCTGTATAAGTTGTCCTCTAAGCTTGCTCACAGAGATCAGACTTAACTCCGCTCCTTGTCTCGAGTCCAGGCACACGACATGAATGACGGGAGCGGGTGTCTGGGGCGGGGCCCAGCCCACGGGGGGCTGATGCTGCTCAGCTCGGAGGAGTGGTCGCCATGTGGGACTGTGTGTCTAGTGCTGCCAGGTGTGCAAATTTGAATTTTTATGTCAAATTTATACTTTTTAATGTTGGTAACTCACTCCATTTTTTAGACACCGCTGGCCGAACTAAATATGTCTTTGGCCAAAGAAGCCTCCATTATGATCCCCTCCCTGAGAAGAACCTCTCTAAATCCGAGTCCAGTCAAAATACTTCTCGTTTGTACGACTGATCGCGCTACCGGGCAGGGAGATCTGCAGTCAACATTCATCTGATTCGCTGACTCACGCTATTTCTGCTCTCATAGGCTGCCTCTGAATATGTGCGTAGATCTTTTGTCATTTGAATCCAAAGACAACCTGGTAACACAGGTATTATCCCTATTTTGATGATGAGTTATGTAGGACCCAAAGGTAGCAAACAGATAATGAAGACATTCAGAACAGCATGACTTGCGTTAGAAGAATTGAGGTCAGATCCTCCCTCAACATTTACTATTTTTATAACTCTGAGAAGGTAAATTAACTTCCCTGTACTGTACTGCAGTTTTCTCCTGCTGTAAGATGGGCACTCTAAGAGTACTACCTCGCCAGAGTCTTGTAAAGGTATATAAAGCATGTAGAAATGTGCCTACCACAGAGTAAGTGCTATATAAGTATTGCTATCACTATTTATTGCTATTATTAATATCATCTGTCAAATGAGATCCTTGCTTTCTGTAAGTTTTGAATGAACTAATTGATGTCAAGTGTTTAGATTGTGCCTGGGACATAGATAATGTTCCTCACTTGTTAAATGTGTATCTAGTTTAATTCTCTTTCAAACACATTAGTCCTAGACCATGCAAATTAAGTCCTTTACTTTGAGTTGGGTAGTAACAAGCACTGGCACTATTATAGGCTAAAAGTATTTAAACTTGTACTAAGTGTTTTCTTTTTTTAAAGATTTTATTTATTTATTTTTAGAGAGGGGAAGGAAGGAAGAGAGAGAGAGAGAGAGAGAGAGAGAGAGAGAGAGAGAGAGAGAGAGAGAGATCAATGTGTGATTGCCTTTCACAGGCCCTCCACTGGGGACCTGGCCTGCAACCCAGGCACATACCCTGACTGGGAATTGAACCAGTGATGCTTTGGTTCACAGGCCAGCACTCAATCCACTGAGCCACATCAGCTGGAGCAAATGTTTAATTCCTTAGAGGCTTAAGTAATACATGGCTTTGTAGTGTCACAAGTACTGTAAAGTTTATTTCACTTGAAGATGTGCAGTAATGTCAGTCCTGTGCCATGTAATGACTGTCCCACTGAGTATTTCAATAGTGTAATAAAATGCTGTTCACACTAGCAGGAATGCTTATATCAGAAGACATGTTAAATTTAGATGGTCTTCTCCTCCTCTTCTGGTTTCCCTAATTTTTAAAAAACTTGAGCTCAAAGAAAAAAAAAACATGTTCAGACAACTCAGTCAAATTGTAGCCATGTGCCAGTTTGCCAGCGTAGCTAGCACCGTTACTTACTTGTGACCCATTTCATGAGCAATCGTGAATGCTAGGTTCAGGCCGTTGTCTTCGGCAATGATGCATTTCCGCTTTTCACTGCACATTCCGCTCAAGTAAGCTATGCCTAGAAAACACAAACATTGATTGTCGTGTATCAGAATTAAAGTGCAAACACGCTAGGTACTAACAGAAGAAACAAAAATACGTCAGTGTCAAAATATGTTATCTAGCCTTTCTTTTAAAGATTTTACTTATTTATTTTTAGAGAGAGGTAAAGGGAAGGAGAAAGAGAGGGAGAAAAACATCAATGTGTGGTTGCCTCTCACATACCCTCAACCAGGGACTTGGCCCGCAATGCAGGCATGTGTCCTGACTGGGAATCGAACCAGTGAACCTTTGGTTCATAGACCAATGCTCAATCCACTGAGCCACACCAGCTAAGGATGATATCTAGCCTTTATAAATGGAAGTTTAGGGGTAAATGCATACATACAAGTCACTTAATAAACTGTTAATATTCCTTTCAATTTCATATTTTAGATGAAATTATTTTATCAATTATCTAATTCTCAAAAGGTGTACTGTAAGGATACATTTTATAATTACCACTTTTTATTGTCTTTTTAAGATAAATGATGAGTAGCAACTTAGAAATATAAATAAAAAGCAATGATTATGTTAAATATTTTTAATTCTTGTGAAGAAGCTATTATCAAAGAAATACCCTAAAATAAAATAAACTACATATAGGACATTCTTGTACTTACATTTATATTGAGTAAATAAATTTTGAAATTTAATTTGGTGAAATACCATTTTAATTAATAACTTGCTGAGATATTTGGAAAATTGAACATGTTTCTTCTGAAAATTCCTTGGCTAATAAGATGGCCTGACAGCAGAGTATATACTGAAATATTATTTAAGGTAAAACTTCAAGCAGGATATTTGATCCTTTGATTTAAATCATCAGTAAAGATGATAAGATCTGAAAACATTGATAACTTTTCAATCAAAGATTTATATACTATTTTACCAACTCGAATCTATCCCTGAATAAATATCATTTAACACAAGGGATTGAAATCTTTTAAGTGTAAGTTTTAACGTATTTTCAAATGACAAAAGTTATTAAAATAATGTCTAGTATTTACTGAATTCATTGTATAGTCTCTAATTCTCTTATCCTTATAAAATACATTTAATCTTATTTTATGAAAATATTAAGGCATGAACAGGCAAAATGACTTCCCAGAGATCACGTGACTACTAGATAGGACAGAACTGGGGTTGGACCCCAACCTTGAATCCATCAACCAGCTGGTGAGCTTTTGTTTCTGATAACGATTTGGTGCAGAGTCACCCCTGGTTAAAGATGACCAGCTCACTGCTTTTAAGTTTCCTCCTTTCTCCAGAAACTTAAACAATAATGGCATGAAATAATTAAATTGATATCAAAGAAGAATCGCTTTGCCTATATTTGGGAAAGATAGAAGACCCATGGAGGAAGATGAATTATCTAGTGGAGCCCAATGCCAGGAGAGGAGGATGTTAGGAGTGAGGTGGAAGCCCAGAGAGGCCCAGGAATGAGGCCCACCAGGTCCGAGGGGAGGCGCTGTGGGAGTGAGTGTTGAGAATGGAGATGAATGGGAGGTATATCTGAAACTCTACCACTCATTCAAACCTTTGTACTGAAGGTCAAGGCCTCATACTCACTGGTCTACCAGCAAAATGAGATCTATTCCTTCAGCAAAATATAGTATAAACATTATTTTAAAAATACAACTACAGAAACAGCTAAGAGATGAAATATACATATATGAGGGGAGACCCAAACACCCCAGATTTATCTGTAAAAAAGAAGTGTATTGAATTCTCACACATTTAAACTTCAGTCCCCTTCAAAGTACTCTACATGTGATACAATACACCTATCAACATGTCTTTTCTGCTCCTCAAAACAGTTGTTGAACTTGTCAAATTTGATGCCTTTTAGTGCTTCTGCTATTTTCGTTTCACCTGCTCCACACTGGCACAACGTTTCCCTTTGAGGACTTTTTTCATCCAGGAAAACAAACAAACAAAAAGTTGCTTGGGGTGAGATCAGGTGAATAGAGAGGGTAGGACACAGGGATCATGCCATTTTTGGTCAAAAGTAGTGTGGGCAAGTGCGCTCATACATCAGCCATCTTGAAATGGGCAAACATGTTGAGGGTCATCAAAACAAATTCACTGAAGCTGAATGCAGCCTCTCACAACAATCCAGCTGGTGGTGCACTGATACAGATGGGCTCCTAGAATACTCACCTCACGGGGGATGCCTGTACTGTAAGGGGCCTGCCTCCAGAAGATAATCCCAACTTTTCTGTGGGTCTCACATTGTATGTTAGAAAGCCCATCACCTAGGCTATGAGGGAATCAGCACAAAGCCCATCTTCCTGGGATGATGGGGACTCATGTCTCAAAACCTGTCTCCCCATCTCAGTGGAGGCAGAGCTGTTTGTAAGGAGGGAAAGTGGATCAGAACAAAGAGATCAAAGGAGAGGATTGAAAAACGCTCTCTGTGCAGATGAACATGGTTCATTCCGATACAATGGTCTGGTGTGTGTCTTCCTGGCTCAGTTGTCCCGGCTTCTGGTCATCCGGGCTCCATGGATAAAGGTCAGCAAATTTCCCAGAGCTGGGATGCTGGAAGGCCAGGGTCTGTATCTTTTGAAATAGTTCCTAGGATTCTTACACAAACGTGCTATGTATCCACCAGCTACACATTAGTCAGAGTCGGCACTTCCAGCAACAATGTCAAGGGAATACTGGGTGGTAACACTGTCCCACTTTTCCAGTACATCTCAGGGAAAAAGAGGGAATGTTATCTCATGCATGGGTCAAAGGTGGATGGGAGCTGAATAGTATTTTTTTTGGAAAAGAAACAAAAGTTTAGACTAGCAACTGAGAGAACTGGGAAGACCGCTGATTAAGTACTAGTGAACAACTTAATGTAAATTGATTAGAAAACAATGGTTCAGCAGAAGAGGAAGAACAGGAGCCCAGGGCAGCACCGATAAAGCCAGTTGCAAGTATCCAAACCTCATGGCTCAAAGAGAGAAGAGGAACATTTGGGTTAAACTTGGGCTGAGATTTTGTGGAGCAGGTGTAAGGAAGGATCAAAGGATGTAAGGGTTGGTAATAAAACTGAGAAGGAAAGAAGGAACAGGCTCTATGCTAGATCATAAAGAGGTAAGGTCAAATGGAGCCTGACAATTTGGAGTCCACAAACGTACTGGAGATTGTGATAAGAGTGTGGGATTCAGAGGCTGAAGATTTCAGAGGTGAAGTTTCAGGACACAATTAGGTATTGTCAGGAGAGTAAAGAAGGATAGAAGTAGAGGTCATCAAGACTGAGGGCAGAGAGCGATGCAGTGGTGTTGGTGGACTGAGTACGCAGACACGAAATTGCACCGGGTCACCGTGAACTCAGGAAGGTGGAAAAGGCGGCAGCATCCGAGGGACACGTGGGCAAGAATCAAGGAGATTGGTCAATTGCAGTGACAGTGAGAGATGAGATGTCAAGGTCAAGAGTTTCTGCTCATGCGAAGAGTTTCTACATGAGGACAGGAGGGATTTTGGCTCAGGAGCAGCAGTAGGAAGCAAGAAGGATGCCACAGATACTCAGCTTTGGTGTCTGCCTGGTGCCGGCCTTTGAAAAGGGGAAGAGAAAGAACAGGGATCTCAGGGCCTGGGTTCCTCACCAGGTTCTGGGAAATCAGCGACTACCGTGTGGTCAGGTAAAGTCCTATGGGGATAAATATTATAGTTCATAGTATATAAAAAATTTTATTTTATTATAAAATATAAATTTATATAAAATCATAGAAAATGTAATCCAAAAGTGATGTGTACATATTGACATAGTGGTATGGTTACAACTAAGTATTATAAATCTATACCACCGTGTTTTAATACAATAAAACTATTACGTAAATATGCAAATTTGCTAATTGCAGTTACCTTATGGGAAGAGATTATGGTTCATTTTTCCTCCTGCCTTCCCATTTCCCAAATTCATGTAAATGTTTATAATAGTTTTTTAATGACAAAGGGAAAGACATAAATATGATACTATGTCTATGAAATTTGTATAGTAATTAATAAAATTTCTTAGAGACCAGGGTGTGATTTAACAGCCAAAAAGGACGCTCTACTCCTATTCTTCTTTTATGTGACTCTTAAATTTGAATCTTTAACTAAGAGTCTGATACATTCTAATTTCATTGTTCTCACACTTGGAGTGCCAAGATTTGCACTCAGAAGTTAAGGAGAATGACTGCAGCCGTGGCTAATTTAAATGACTCGGGTTATTCTGTTTAAAAGCCCATGCTTTTCAGCTCCTTCCTAAAACCCACATGTTTCCTGTTCTAATGAAGGGCAGAGGTTAGAAGGAGAGAGGATTTAATACAGCTGTTATTTAAAGACATGTAATAGAGACCGTTTTCAAAGCACTCTTTCTGAGAATGGAACATTGAGCAGAAAACAGCACAACTGTGCAGAGGTAGTGCGTGAACAGGGGAAAGATAGTGCCAGAACCTGGGGTGGGTGGGTGTGGAGCCAGGGGTGGGAGCAGGCGAGGCTAGCTCCTGGTCAGTGCCCCACGTGAGGGAAGGGGGACACTCAGGGGCTTTGAGTGGAAGCAAACAGGTAGGAGGCTCACACCCCTCCTGCCTGCCTTCCCATGCCCCCAGGGTAGGGGGTGGGGTCTGTCCAACCTAGTGCCCGCACGAGGCAAGGCGGAGAAGAAAGGAAAGTGGGCATCTTGGGGCCAAACAGACCTGTTCGTGGCCACACGTGCCGCTGCCCCCTGCACCGTGGAGCGGGCGTGTCAGAGTGAGACGGGGCTCAGGCCTTTACGGCCAGTGGAGCCCTCCCAGGCCCCCTAATGGGAAGCCAGAAGTAAGAGTGGAGAAGGGACCCCCAAACCAGAAGCAGAGCGAGCAATTCAAAATAGCCTCTAATTTCTCACCTAAAAATCGAGCCATGCACCAGGAGTCGACAGAACCTCTCACATGAACACCAGCGCACAATCCAGTGACTCGCCTTATCGAGAAGATCGAAGACCCTAGAACCACACCG